AGAGGGGGCAGAGAGAGAAAGAAAGTGTAAAAGAGGGAAAGAAAGGGGGTGAAAAATAGATGGAGGGGAAAAAAGAAACCATAAGAGACAAAAGAGGTAGGGCTACAGATTGGAATAATAATAAGAAATATGTGAGGCAGCGTGGTGAAATCAGGCGCTCGTCAAACTAGGCAAAGTGGAGAAACTAGTTTTTTTCCGCAGATTTGGGAATTTTTATAGAATTTTTGTTTTTTGGCTCAACGCCTTTCATGCCCTTTAAAGAACATATTTCTGTGTGGACTGTCCTGAAAACAGTTGATTTAAGGCATAAGAAATGTAAATTTTCAGTTTTCATGGGCTCTCAAGCTTAGGAAATGACTCAGCTTTGGCGGCCATTTTCTCGCTAATTTTACCTCTGAAACAAGCCCATCCCTCCTCCTTCAATTACCAGTATCTTGACTTGTATCCAAGATAAATAGATATTGTTTTCGTCCAAAGCAAGACAAATGGACAAGCTTTAAGATGATACAAGTAACTCCATATGCCCCAAAACTGACGAGAGCCTGATTTCACCATGCTGCCTCACATATTTAAAAATGAGACAGAAAAACAGAAAAACAAAAAGCAGAAAAACAGAAACACAGAAGAAAAGAGGCAGACACAGGAAGAGAAGGAGAGACAGTCCACTCACCATGAGCCTGCACCAGTACTGGGACAGTGAGGCCCTGGTAGATCTCTGCGACCTTCAGGTTGACCCTCTTCTCCGTCACGACTGGGGCGTCATTGTGGCGAGACAGAACGTTGGACCCTGGAACATATAAAACAGGAGGGACTGTCAGATAAACGATTTTTGTTTCCATGTCATAGAGAGATACTGTTTTAGTAGAGGTTTTACGGCGCTCGCAACTGCATTAGGTCATATGAGCGCCAGAAGATTAGAGGTGTTACAAGAGAGTAACAATCATAAAAAAAGAAGGAGGGGAGATAAAGACGATAGATGTTTGATAGGAAAGAAGAAGCAAACCACACTAGAGCACCCGCCAACCACCCACATAGAGAGATAGATAGATAGACATATAGATAGAGAGATAGAGAGATAGAGATAGAGATTGAGAGATAGAGAGATAGAGATGTAGATAGAGAGATAGAGAGATAGAGAGATACTGAGGTAGATAGGTAGAGAAATAGATAGATAGATATATAGCTACTCTTGTTTGCTTTTACTTTAGTTTGAGAATGAGTTTTTTTGCATTTGCATTAAATTTAGGTCTTATAACTCGTTCGCGACGTATTATTTTCGGCTTGTGGACTAATTTCTTTCGGGAAGGCGAAATGAGACGATGACTAGCGCGCAGTTCAAAGGTCTTTGGGGCCTCAAATTCAATAAATATTATCATACTATACACCGAAATTTTCAACAGGATTTTTAGAATACATCTGTAATGTTTATTTGTGCGTTTTTCAACCTTGGATCCTGTATGAAGCGATGATGCAACACAATTTTGCTAGAATGCAGATAAAATTCGAAAATAAAAAATTAATCATCTTCGATGAAACTCAAAAAATATGTTTGCACCTAGTCAAATGATTCATCAAAATAACCATAAATGAATATAGAACTGTAAAATACTGAAAAATTTGCAGTTATTTATACACATTCCATAAAATTTGCACATTTGGATCATGACATTCGATATTGAAAAAAAAAATTTATGATCTTGAAAAATGGACAAGATGCATTCACAAACAGAAAAAAACACTCGTATCGTATATGGAATTATTCAGAATTGCATTTGGAATAAACCTACATTTGTCTTGAGTGGTACTTTTGTGTAATTTCACAAAAAAATAGTGATTTTTGGGAGAAAAAAATTATTTGACAATTTAGATCTAGAATATTGATTTCTCAATAACAGAGCAATGGCAATTTGAGCCCAATTGTATCAATATTCTAAAGAATAGTCCTAGATTTCTTAAGCGTGCAAAATAATTATATATTTTGTCATGTAAAAGTAGTAAGACTGGGGGCTGGGCTATAATTTGATAAAACAAAGTCGCATAAACTTCGAAATTGAGTTTCAAAACTGAATCAAAACTTCCGATTTTCGGTGGAAACGCTTGACCCGGAAGTCAACATTATATTATGACCTTTATTTTAACATGGATATGAGGATTGAAATAGAATGTAAGCTAAAATTGAAGATTGGTAGGCTACTCGAGCCGCAGGGGGCGGCTTAGTGTACTAACGGCACTTTAGCCGCGCCGCCCCGCATAGTGATTGAGTTAAGCACCGAAGATTAGAGGTGTTACAACTGAGTAATTCACAAAGAAAAAATAGGAGAGTTAAAGGTGATAATAGTTTGAGAGGAACAAAGGAGCAAACCACATCAGAGCACCTGCCAACCACCCACCATTAACGATGAAAACATAAAACAACAACAACAGCAAACAACAAAAACAAAGCGAAAAATGTCTGATAGAAAAGAAGGAGCAAATCACATCAGAACACCTGCCAACCACCCACCATCAATAATAAAAGCAAAAAACAACAACAACATCAAACAACAACAACACTGACAACAAAAACTATAACAGCAATAATAATGACAACAACAACAGCAACAATATTAAAACTCCAATTAAAAAAAACTGACCAGGGTAAGCCCTGCCCCAGGCTAAATGGAGGTGCCAGTTCAGGTTCCGGTCGTACGTCCGGTTGGTGTAGGTCAAGGGCACCGCTGCCTGATCAATCTGGTACACGTAAGTCACACGAGGAAGCACAAAGCGACACTGTAGCCTGCCGTCTGATTGGCTGATCTCTGTCTCTGTGATATAGCGCTGGAACAGTTGCATGACAAAACAGTCCTCTTAAAAGCCACAGCCGTTTTCAACAGTATTTTATCTAATATGATACGAATGTAGCACATTGAAATAACATCCCAGAGTTAACAGATTTCCTGCAGATCAAGGTGGGAAATAACTCTAAGGGTAACAGAATTTTTGCCTGGAAAACCAGGAGAAGCTTCATTTTTACCTCAATATTAATCAATTTAATACTATTTACAAGAACAACAATTCTAACAATGGAAGTTCTCCTGATCATCTTTTTTTTTCAAAAAGATCTACTCACCTACGTTCAAAAGCACTAGGCCTATATTTAAAAAATAGTATGCACTGTAAACACACGACGACGTGAATAACACACCCTCCCCCCCCCCACTCCCTGTCACTTCTGCTTTCCTTCTCCTTTCCCTCCCTTCTCTTTCTCCTCCTCCTCAATCCTTCCTACCTTTCTCCCTTCCTTTACTTTTCCATAATCCCATTCAACCCCCGTTCCCTAATAATTCGGGTTATAAGTTTTTAAAAGTTTTTATCGGTGATGATACATAATGTGACTCGGCCTCCTATACCCCAGTAGGTAATCGCATAGGTCACACAAATGACAGAGGTCACATGACTCACGTTCAGCAACAGTTCGTTGTAGCGCTTGGGATTCCAGCCATGCTGCACGCTCATCTCCCCTCCCTGACTGACGCAGGACACCGTCTCATCGTCCCCCTGTGGATGCAGTTTAGATTAACTCTTTAACTTTAACCCATCTTTTGACATAATTTTTTTCCAGACCTTATGAAACACGTAAATACACACAAAATATTCATAAAATGGCTAAAACTGTGTCAAAGTGAAAGAGGAAGGCAGTTTATACATTTATCGAACACTCCCTATTCAAAATAAGTCTATTCAGATCCGTATTATCAATAATGCTTCCTACACTCTGGGATCTGACCAGACCCTGAGACCGCCCACTCGGGGACTGGGCTTTAGTAGTTTCACGGGACGTTCTATCGTCCACTCCGGGTTATAGATTACTGATTAACTCTTATCCCCAAGAGGGGGTGGGGGGATGGGGGGGGAGGGGTAAACTCCCCCTACTATGCTAGAGCCCTGTTTTGGTGTAAATTCTAAAAGTTACCTATACCTATCTAAGTAGGTCATCAAAGTAAAACAAATGAATCTATTTTAATAGTTCTTAATGCGATAAAATATCTCCCATTACAAGAGACCTGTTTTCAGCAGTTTCTGAAAAATCATTTGAAGTTGAGGGCACATCGATTTCAACTGTGAGTCGCTTGGAGCGGCTTACTGGAGATAAGGAATTAAAATAGCAATTGCTATAAAAATAATTACAACAATTATAGAAATAATAAAAATGTACGATCAGTTTGTTTGATAATTTAAGTGTGTATATGTCTGTGATTGTATGTTTGTATGCGTGTGTACATGTGGAAGTGAACATGTTTACCTCCTTTCTCTCTCTTTCTCCTCTCCACCTCCTAAGCAACTCTCAAAACAGGCACATCCTTTAAAGTTTCAGCCGATCGTTGAATTTCAACCTCTAAAGTGCTTTCAAAAACGTTTCTATATACTTTTGAGAGTTGAAAATCATCTCAATCTTGCTGCATCAACCCCTCATGACAGGTACGACGTATGCCATTTGTTGTTTTCCCTTATGCGGCCAAGGAGCCAAGATGCTGCTGTGACGTACGCCGTTTGTCATGCCTTGCAAAGCGCGAAGACCACGACGACCAAAGCTGTTCTTTATAGGTTGTATTCTGCATACTGTTTCTATTAGACGTATTTGAGATTCACATTCAGATATATTTTTTTTCTGTTCAAAGAAATGTTTTCCTTTTAGAGATAGTAATATATGCAAAAGAGGTCTAATTATAGGCAACTGACCACTAAACCTAGTGCTGCTCTTTGACTCTGCGGATTCAAAACTGTGCCTGGTGAGGCAAGAACTGAACCTGTGTCACGATGGGATTAACAACTGTTGTTATTTGGAACATAAAACAATGTTCAACACTACTAACCTTCTGTCTGCCTGCCTGCCCCAACAACAGGAGTTAGCCAAACCTGTTTCTCTCTGTGTTGTGATCCTTTCCTCAGCGATGCGGCCCCGGTGCGTTGGAATCTCACACGTTACACACAAACAAACCGAGGCTCCAACTAGCCTTTTCTCCCACCTATACTCTCTGCAGGCCTCCCCTGCCTTGCTTTGTTTTTGTTTGTTTTTGTAAAGTGTTTTACGGCGCTCGCAACTGCATAGGTCATATGAGCGCGTGGGACACACCTAATATTTTCAGTTGGTAGGAAATTTTGAATTTTGCCCGGGTGGCGGCCGAAGCCTACGCTTATCGATTTTAGACCACCAAGGGATGTTTAATGTGCGCAACTTGCACACGGGCCCTCCGAGATTTTTCGCCCTTGTCCGAGAAGGCTAGGTGTAGATCTTTCCTACCAGAAGATCAGGGGTGTGGCAGAAAGACAGCAGTAAGGAGGAGCCAAGGAGTAACAGTAGAAAGGCTGCAGAAAGAGTCAGGAGCCCAGAGGAGGGGGCAAAGGAGGTGAGGGGGTGGGGGGCAGAAAGTGGAAATGAAAGCAGACAACAGAACATTGCTAGAGAGCAGGAAAGGAGGTGAAAGGAGACAATTTTAGAGAAGAAAATTTTTTGGGTCGCTACCCGGATTCGAACCCGGGACCTTTGAATGAGAGGCCAACACCTTAATCTCTAGGCCACGAGAGCCCCCTCTGCCTTGCTACAGCTCTCCCCTCTAAAGTTTCACCAGTAGTAACCCAGACTGCTTTTATAAACTTGCAAACAATATAACTGAACAGAGACTCACACTTTACTCAATCTCATACTTTCAGCCAAACACCACAATACAAAAGGCTAGGCCTAACCCCCTGCCACAACCAAAAACAACCAAATAGACCACAACAACCCACCATTTTGTCATCCTGAGAGAAAGCCACAGAGATGTAGTCCTCCGCCTTGTTAGAAACCATCTCTACCACAAAGTCATCGCTGCTCTCTCTGTACTCAAAACTGATGGCCGCGTCACAGTCGGGCCCGTTGCAGTTGTCAGGGTAGAAGAGACAGCCCTTTGTGGTACCACAGCCTTGGAACTTCACGTCGGACACGATAGACCTTACAGGAACAACCTGTGTCAGTCAGAGACAATTTGATACATGTAATGGTTTAGTAATTGTTGCGGCAGAGTTGTGGTTCATGAGACGAATGCTACGTATCCCATGGACAGCTAGAAAAACAAATGAAGAAGTCCTGGTTGAAGCAAATTATAGAAAACAACTTATCACGAATATAAGAAAACGACAGGCAAATTTTTTCGGACACACAATGCGGAAAGAAGCATTAGAGAACATTGTAACAACAGGAAAGTTTGATGGAAAGAGAGGTAGAGGCAGACAGAGGGAAAAGATACTGGACAAGATGACAACATGGCTGGGAGCAGCAAGAACAACAGACACCATTGCTGCTTCGAAAGACAGATGGAAGTGGAGGTCCATGATCGCCCATGCCAGTCGGCAAGGCACCGGATGATGATGAATGGTTTAGTAAGTTTTACAGGGACCACCTGCTATAGTTTAACACTTTGCCACCTCATCTCGTCGATTGGCCATGTCTACCACCCTGTTTCTTTTGGATTTTCCCCAAAATATGATGGCAAAGTGTTAAGATAACATGATAATGGTAGGTTAGTTGAGTTGACAAATTCAACAACCTGATAACATAACAGTAATAGACTAATATTTTGAGAAACAACAAGATATATTGACATAATAATGGTAATTTAGTTTGAGATAAAAAGAAGCATATCAGAACAATAATGCTATTTGAGAAAAGAGGATCATTCTGAGAATAGAGAAGCAAGAACTGTCATCTAGTTTGAATTTGAGGATTCAAGGAATTGACACCAAAAAGATCATGTGTTGCATCATGGTGAAATCAGGCACTTGTTAAAATACTGAAATCAAAGAAATTGACATTTTTTCAACGGTTAGGCCATTTAAAATCTATTTCTATTTTTTGCTCCACGTCTTATACGTCCATTTAAAAACATAATTATTTCAGTGTTGATTTTACTGAAAAATGTTGATCAAAGGCACAAAAGAAACGTAAATTTGCAGGTTCCAAACACACTTAAGCTCTGGAAGTCACAAAACTTTGAAGGTCATTTTCTCACAAATTTAACTCTGACACTAGGCAACCCCAACCTCATGCAATCGCACATATCTTTACTTTTAATCCCAGCCAAATTTTTACCCACTTTCTGAACATCACTTTCCATTCACCGCCCACCAGAGCACCAACAAACTACACAGAATTTTATCTTATTTCTGAATGTCCAATTCAATTCACTGACTGTCAAACAATCCACAAGCCATTTATCCTTACCTGATAGTGGGTGGTTGGAGGGTGCCACTGATAGGTCCTACTTCTTCACACTTTCCCTCCATTGTTTCTGTCTGTCCGTCCGTCTTCCATTTTCCCCAGCACTGAATGACCATCACTGTGTCAATATGCTTCTCTTTACTCAAACAAACAAATAAACAAACTTACCTGATACTCTGGTGTTTCTACAGGCTCACTGACAGCTCCCGACACAGGGAGAGGGAACTCCAGGCCAGTCCAGAACGTCTTGAAGTTCTCCACAATGGTTGCTCTGGGAAAGACGAAGGCACAAAATAATTTTTAAATGAAGATGAAAAGGTTTCAATCCCCTGTGGACTCAATTTAGACGATTTTTTAGGTCGCCATAGGAGGAAAAAATGAAAGAAAGCTGAAGTAAGAAGATCTCATTGACACAATTTAAATGATTTATGAGGTAGCCCTGGATATACAAAATGATTTTGCAGGAAATTTTAACACGTTTAAGCACCCATATCAACACAATTTGATAAATGCTATGTTTGACTGCTTTAACCTTGCTTCGCAGGGCTAAAGTTGGCTGAGAAGAATAAATCCTAACGAAAGCACAGAAAAATTCCACAAAGTAAAACATATTCCCCGTATGGGAATCAAGCTCAAATTTTCTGTGAGTGAGGTAAAAGGTCTATCCATTTCACCAATGGTGGTCCCACAAAACTAGACTAGAAGCAGTAGTTGCAGGGAGTTTTTTGGGGGTTTTTTCTGGATGAGTTCAAAACCCTACTGGACACAAAAAATAATAATATTCATCTCTTAACTCTTTAAACCCCATTGGAAGCTGGTAGCATCCGGAAGTAATAACCCTGTTCCCCATCGGACGCTGGGAGTGTCTGATACCAGTAACAACTGTTTCGTTTTATTTAGTGCTAGTTTTGGCTTGTTTTTCGGAATTATTTCAGAACCAAGTTTATTAGTAATGGCTAAGCCTTTGTTTCTGCCATTTAAAAGTTAGAGGCAAGCTTTTGGGGTTATAATAAGACACAGTGCGCCAGGTTTAGGTGACCGTAGAAAAAAACTCTGGGAAAGGGTGGAAATAACTCAGGGTCTAAAGAGTTGTTTTTTTAAAGGACCTCTATACTTATGTACGGATTTCAACAGATCTGAAATGACAATCAAATAACAAACATTTTTACTGTTGTGTCAGTTTCCAACACAACAGGGTTATCATTACTTTCATTTGTTCCTCTGGATTCAGATTTTTCCTTTTGTTTTAATGTTATATTGGTTGTTTCAGGATTTTTGTGCTTTTATATTTATTGTTTGGGGGGAGGGGGGTGGTTGGAGTTTGTTGTTTTGTTTTAAATGGGATTTTGTTCTGGGTTTTTTTGAGAATCTAAAAGCTATCTAACCTGAGAGTGAGATTTCCAACATTGACGTCGGGGGCTGTCCAGGTTAAGGTCACTCTTGGGACCTGGTCTGTGTTCTTGTGAGTTGCAAAATTCTGAAAGTCAGTTAAAAAAAAAAAAAAAAATACATTCAAGAAAAATTTACATTTAGATAAGATTAATTCTCTCAGTCATTTCAATTAACAATGAGGAACATCAACAAAATAACAATCACTATGAAGGCAGTTTAAAATTGAGAAACACACTTATTGAAAAAATGGGTAAAGGAGCGCAATCAGCAAGTGGGGCCTTCTAACCACCCACCATGACTCTCACAATATATTGCATCTGAAAATTTGTGACTGAACTTGAGGTTCTACCTATTTATCCTTTACTCCTTTTTCCTCTTTAACTTCGTAGACAATTAAGTGCAATCTCTCAGAGGTAGTTAGTATGTGCAAGAGCTTATACAAACCATGCTGCAATAGATTTTTTAAATTTTATTTTTTTGTTAGCGTCATTGCACCATCACCTGACCAAACGTTTGTTTTTCTTCAGTTTCAAGGTGTTTAATTCAGTTTTAGTAAGTATTTTATAGCACTTGCAACACAATTAGGTCATATATAAGTGCTGAAGATTAGAGGTGTAACAAACACCAAAAGAAAGGGAAGAGATAAGGACGATAGATGTTTGATAAGAGAGAAAGAGCAAACCACACCACACCACGGCACCCACCAACCACCAACTTTTAAATGTGTAAGCCCCCCCCCCCCCCGCCCCGAGGCTCTAGAATTTTTCTTTTTTTTTAGCTCTCCCCCAAGAAAACATGTATTCAGAAGCGTGAAAAACATAAAAGAAAAAAGGAAATCAACAAGATACCATTCATTTGTTTAGCCCTTAGGGAACACAAGCAAATGTAGAGAGACTGGAAAAACAGGAAACAGAGACCAACCTTTGGCACTTATATATATTATTTTTAGCTTTTCGCCAAAAAAACATGTATTCAGAAGTGTGAAAAACATGAAAGAAAAAAGGAAATCAACAAAATACCATCCAGTTGTTTTTCTCTTATAGAACAAAAGCAAGACATGTAGTCTGAAAAAAGGAAAGATTCATCATAAGAATCAGTATGGACACCTTGCGGGCTTTGGTGCTGGGGGGAACTGAGCACTTATGGACCTGTCCTGTGTGCAATGACGTTGTTGCCCAGGACAGGTAATACAGGTAATACATCATAAGAGACCAACCAGAGGCACTTGTGAACCCCCCCTACCCCTACCCCAATAAAAATAAAACAAGAAAACGTGTTTCACCTTGTAACCTGGGAAGCAGGAGAACACTTGGACCTTGTCATCAGGAACAGTGGTGAACTCTCCGATGACCTCTTCCGTGACTCCTGGCTGATCGCTGGCTCGGAAGGCGCCGATCATAAAGCCTACAAACTGCCGGGTGGGGTTGGCACTGGCCTGAGATATCACGACTGGGAACGAGAACCACAATAAATAACTTAATATCATCATGAAGGGAGGTTTTCGACTTAAATTACTTTTAAATGAGTAACAACAGGGATGGACAAAATTAAAACATGGCAGTTCGCAACCATGAAGGATGGAGGCGGGGCACTACACATCATCTTCAGAGTCAGAGATTACACTTTCAGGAATTTCAGGGGGTTTTTGTGGGTTTTCTAAAACAAAATAATATAGCACCCAAAAAATATCACTTATGCGAGCGCCGTAAAACCCCGTACTGTACAAAAAATATAATTTGCTTATAAGAAATTATGTAGGATGACAATTTTTTTAAACATTTAAAAAGAGAATTTGAATGAATCTATTGACACCTTTCGAGGAAGATTATATGAAGAGATAGAGATGTTACTTATGTCTGGGGGTAAGCTATTACTAATTGGGCTTCACAACAAGATTTAGGCATCAAGAAACAGGAAGATGTCTATGCTACAATATAACAAGAATTGAACATTTCCGTTTTCACAAAACTAGCGAAAATTTGCATGGGAAAAGTTCTACCATCCTGTTTTTAAGGTAGGCTATTTCTTAATGTTTACACTTTAAAAATGATGTGATGCAGAACAATATTTTTTTACACCCTTTAGAAATGAGCATACTTCCAAACTTTCAACAAAACTGTGATGATTTGATGATTAGCGTTATTTTGTCC